AATGTTACTTTCTGTTGTTCATATCCACTTGTGTTGTATTTTTCATACTGTGTAGCTTAACATATGTGGAGAGAAATGGAAAGTAGGATTCATTTTTAAATAGTCATTAGAAAAGTAGCAGCATTGGCACAGACATGATGGGCAGAAGGGTCCTATTATATTTAGATAATTTCCATTTCCATATTTGACATTCAGTTCTCATCCAAGTGGACCTGAACTAGTCCCCCGGAGTTCTTGGTGTAGCACAAATAGTTTTAAACTCTTCTTTTGTTGTATTAATAGGTTTACAGACTTGGAATAAAAGGGAGTCCAGAAAAAAAATCTTTTAACAGTAGTAATAATCCTTGCATTTCATATAGCGCCTCATCATGTCATTGAGAAATCGCAAACTGCTTCACAGAATATATTGTAAAGTGAATTGACTATGTTGTGTACGAAACTTTACAGAGTCTTATGAGAATAAGCTCCCTGACAGGCCATAACGTTGATGGAAACAGTCAAAACTGAGGTAAATTTGGATTTTGAGGGATACGGAGAAAAGTTTGGGAAATGGATTCAAGTGACTTGTGAAGGGCAATGGCTTTACTCCTGTTCCACTATCCCCAGCTGGAGCACAATGCTGGGTACAGAACAGTGTGCAACTGTTATGGATGGAGGCTGCCTTATATAATAAGAGATACGATACAATGATATGATGAAGAGCTACAATGATCAGCGGTCTGTAGCTATGGAAGTGTTATGAAAGTGCTGCTGAGTGGCGCTTTGCTTTTGTGCAATTGGATGTAATATAACCGTTGAAAGATGCAATCAGATACACAATCAAGTGGAGTCCTGTAGCTCAGTGGTTAGAGCACTCGCTTTGCAAGTGAGAGACCTAAGTTCAATTCCAGGCAGAGGGTGAAACCTTGGGCAAGTTTCCTTACTCCACACAGAGCCTAATAATAATCCCTCCAAAACCAAAAACAATAATAAATTGGTCATTTTCAATCTACGACTGTTTGTGGGACATTGCTGTGCGCAATTGGTTGCCGCGTTCGCTCACAAATAAACAGTCAATTCACTTTACAGTGTCTTCTGTGAAGCACTTTGGGACGTCCTCCCGACGTGAAAAGCGCTATATCAAATGCAAGGATTATTATTATTATTATTAAAAGCATTCAGTATCCAGCTTAAAATCTCAGCAGGCACCTTTTCTGATCACTATATAATTCGTTTTTTGCATTCATTGTTTGATGTATGGGTTGAAGCTGGCCAAAATATTACATTGTTAATTCTGATAACGGCCCAGCCAGGCTGGCTCATCGCAGGGTTTGGAAGAATAGACAGATTACTGAGGGCAGGGATTCTTCACACTCAGCTCCTGTTAACCCTGCAAGCTGAAGCCCTAACGCGTAGGGCGGTCTTAGCTGGACAAGTAGCGGAACGCTTGCCAGACAGCGCTCTAAATGGCAAGGTATGCGGTTTCATCCACAAGAATACACAGTTAAGCCGCTTTGCAATATATTCTGTTCAGCGCTTTGAGACGTCTCAACAATGTGATAAGGCGCTATATCAAATGCAGGGATTAATATTATTATTTTATCTAGTTAGACTCCAGCTAAAACTGCTTGGGAATTTCCGTGTATAATGAAGGTGGAAACTCTTAAGGTTGATTCATGGCTGTTTGTAGACAGATCTTTCTGTGTAAATCGGCTATCGCTTTTGCCTACAAATACATAGCAATTAGCTGTGAATCCCTTTTTGAGACATTTTGGTTTTATAGGCACTGTATCAAATGCAAGGATTATTACCTAGCCATGTAAACATTTCTACAAAATATGTATTAATGTGTGCATCAAGTTGAAATAATTCAAATTGCTATATTTAAGAGTGTTTAATGTTTAATCTTTAATGTTTGGGTTCAGATGTAATACAAAGGAAAAGAACAAAGCTGGAGTGGTTGAGACGTCAACCGTGAGACTATAAATTTTAGCCCCTACTGCTGAGTAATGTACTCAGTTTTTTTTCTGGTGGAGCAACACTGTATTAATACTTCCTTACTCATCTCCACATTGCCCATTCCTAATTCCTTCCCGCATACATCAGCAAACGACTGGCATTTGTAGGACATCTCCAGGGTATTCTCACCCAAGAGAGGTCAGATGTTAAATTGTCCCTATATATTATATGTATATGTATTTATACTAAAAACACATTGGTGTGGTTAAGTAATTACACTGATTTAATCTCGGTTTCCAGTAATTCCCATGAGTCATTCAGGCTTTCCTCTTGTGGTTTATTACATCATTTGAATCCCTAATAGGCTTCTTACTTCTTACGTGGAGTCCTGTAGCTTCATGGTTAGAGTACACGCCTCACAAGCGAGAGGACTTGGGTTCAATTCTCGGGCAGGGTGAAACATTGGGCAACAACAACATTACATTTATAGAGCGCCTTTCATGTCGGGAGGATGTCCCAAAGCGCTGAACAGTCAGGTGTAGGGGCCCGAGCATGGGGTGTAGGGGTGAGGGAAGGCAGAGAGGTGGGAGGGCGACCAAAGGCACGATCGAATGGAAGGGTCTTGAGACCGGCCTTGAAGGAGGCAAGGGAGAAAGCGAGGTAAAGGGACCGTGGGCTGAAGTTTCAGAGTGTGGGGGCAGAGAGGCTGAAAGCCCGCCCACCGATGGTAGGGTGGGAGACGTGGAGCAGGCCGGAGCCCACTGAACGGGGGGCGCTGGCAGGTTGGTAGGGAGTCAGCAGGTCACAGATGTAGGAGAGGGCAAGGCCATGGATGGCCTTGAAAGTAAGGACCCAAGTTGGCTTAGTAAGGTGGAGTGTGCATCCTTGGATGGTGATGCTGTCAGTGCCTGAGGTGTGGAGGCGCTGATGGGAGCCAATCAGTTGGACCTCGGTCTTGTTGACGTTCAGCTGTAGAAAGTTAGTTTTCACCCAGGACTTAATAATAATAATAATCCTTACATTTGATATAGCGCTTTTCACGACCAGAGGACGTCCCAAAGCGCTTCACAGAACACACTGTAAAGTGAATCGACTGTATATTTGTGGGCGAACGCGGCAGCCAATTGCGCACAGCAATGTCCCACAAACAGTCGTAGATTGAAAATGACCAATTTATTATTGTTTTTGGTTTTGGAGGGATTATTATTAGGCTCTGTGTGGAGTAAGGAAACTTGCCCAAGGTTTCGCCCTGACCTGCATGGAATTGAACTCAGGTCTCTCACTTGCAAAGCGAGTGCTCTAACCACTGAGCTACAGGACTCCACTTGACTTGATGTCTGACAGACATTCTGTCTGCACAGCAGTGGTTCTGGAGTCATGGGTGGAGGCAGAGAGATAGAGTTGGGTGTCATCCGCATACATGTGGAAGTTGATCCCATGTCTGCGGATGATGTCACCAAGAGGGAGTGTATAGATATTGAAGAGGAGGGAACCAAGGACAGTGGATTGAGTGACCAAATTATTATTTAAAACATTTTACCCCACGAAAAGCGATCTGCCAATCGATTCACAATCGGGTTCCTACTTATTACGAGGTAAACAGAGGGGCGTATGGAGTAAGGAAATTTACCTATCGTTTCGACCTGCCCCGGGAATCGAACCCAGGTCCTCTTGCTTGCGATGAGAATGCTCTAACCACTAAACTACAGGACTTCAATGGTTGTTGACACAACATAAATGTGGGCCATTCATGGAGGATTTTCCACTTAAACTCATTAACTCACTATTGTGTTTGGTAACTAGAACCCTATCAACAGTATTCTGATGAATGTTATTGCTGGCCAAGAGTGTAACAATTCCCAGTAGAGCCCAATTCTTGTAGTGAGAAAGAAGGATTCGGATGAATTACAAATGTGTGTACAGTGGCTGTCGTTTCCTACCATATTCCCATCCATTTGAAAAGGTATATTTTTGCTTTGCATTCTTTACGTTTTGAAAATTGTTCCCTCTACTGCAGTAAGACTGGCTATTTATAATAATAATAATCTTTGCATTTGATACAGCGCTTTGTCACATCGTCGCTGTCTCAAAGCTATTTCAACAAAAGAAACCAAGCTTTAGTTTCTGAAAGCCATCATTGTGAAGGAAATGCTCAATGTTACATGTGTTTATTGCTTAATAGGGATCCGGCACTGCATTTCTCTTCATCAATCCATTACTCCCTGTCCTACACATCACGAGTATGTTTGTGTCCCCTGGATAAGATGTGCAATCATCTGACCATCTGTTCTGATGGTTCACGCGGATGTTAGAGGCACTATTTGGAAGAAGAGAATGGAGTTGTGATTACCTGGCCAATATTCCTGTCTCTTCTACAATCACCAGATTTATCTCATCACTGCCTATTGGACAATCTTAGTACACATCAGCTGCTATGTTCACTTTCACAACAATCATTACGCTTTAAAGTAACTCAGTTGTGTGATAGCCGCTCTGTCAAATGCAATATTATCCTCGCTCTTGTGATTTGAGATGATGAAAGTCTAGGTTAATGCACTTTTGCAGTTTAAATATTTTCTCCTCACTGTAAATCGGATCTCTGTTGCCAGCAAGGATGGCATGCTTTAATTATTCCAGCATGCGTGGAATAATTAAAGATACAGTTGGTCATCTCACTGACCTTATTCACTCATCTTTCACATGAGGTCCCATTTGCCTGTTCTTTATGTGGGAGTTAAAGATCCCTGATGGTATCTGGGGGAAAGAGAGGGACTTCCTTCTGGTGTTCTGGCCAACAACATTAATTGGTCATTCACCTTGTGACTGTTTGTAGGATTTTGGTGCCCCAAATGACTGCTTATAAAGACTATCTCAACCTGTGAAGCACTTTGAGATGACATGATCATTTACCATAAAAGTTATTTTGTTCAAAAGCGTATGGGTAGAACTGGTCAGGGGACATGAGTATCTGACCTGGAATCTGGAGAGCTTGAGGAGAAAATCAGCTTCCTGCAGGCCATCTGTCTGTTCCAGGCTGTTCACGTTCATGGTTTGTTTTCCAGAGAAACTTGCCGAGGCCCAGCGCAGGTTTGCTACACTTCAGAATGAGCTGCAGTCGACACTGGAAGCCCAGCGAGACAGCAACATTGTCTCTATCTTAAGGCAACGGAAGAAGACGGTCTTCCCTCTCTCCCATGAGGAACGTGTGCAGCATAGGAACATTCGGGACCTGAAGCTAGCCTTCAGCGAGTTCTACCTCAGCCTGATCTTGCTCCAGAATTACCAGGTACGTCACACCACCTTCTGGGAATATCAGGAACTTTGGAAGAGCAAAATATCAAAGAAGGTCTTGAGATGGACCTTGAGGAGGCAAGGGAGAGGGCAAGTTGGAGGGGCTCCGGGGTGGAATTCCAGAGGGTGGGTACAACTACATTTCATACATTTTCTTTCACACTGTGCCATTTCTTCAATTTGCACCACACCTCTCTGCACACGGCATTTGAAGGTTTTTCTTCACTTGGGGTAAGAGTCCATGATGCCAGTTGCCTTCTATATTTTAATCAGGAGCAGAAGCTCAGGCTGATTTTCAGAGCCAAAAGCACCCCCAGAGGGGAATATGAGCCACCCCCTGCCTCAGCAATGCTCTATATTAATTCAGTATTACAGATTAATCTATGGGTAACTGATAATTTGCATTCATGGGTTTGTACCTTGACTGCTTATTGCTACTTGGTTAAATTAAGTTAACAGTTGAAATGTTGTCAGGTTTGAATGTAGGAGCTTGGAGTCTTCTCATACCCTGAACCATTCCACGAGCTGTATACGATCCGAAGTGGCTCCATTGACTTTACTTGGTAAACTATCTATAAGCCAACTATCACTGGGAAAGCACAGTACGAGCTCCGTGTTATTACATGTTTACAGGTTATGTACTTCCCCAAAGCCAGATTTCCTGACCTCTGGTTTCTGATTTTGCTCATTAAAGTAAATGGAGCTGAGCTTCTTCCCTGGAGCTTCTCCACCTCAGCTCTGCCAAGGCACAGGTGCATGCCACCGAAAACATCTGGCTGAAATCTAACTTAAAGGTCCATCGGCAGATCTGGCTGGACCACATCAAAACTTACTGCTCCGCCACTAGTCGTTTGGAGTGCTCATATTGCAATTTAGAAGTTAAACTTTCCTCTGCATCATTCCAGAGGATTTATGTATGTTCAGTGGAATAAGTAGCTTAAATCAGATGGTATCCTGAGGGAAATTAAGTTCTATGTTTAAAAAATATACTGAATATATTCTTATGCCTGGATTTTAAATTTTCACTTTTCATTTTCATTTAAAATCGATTTCAAGTTTGCCTTAAATACCATTTTGCACATTTCATTCCTCTTGGCTTTTGCCAAAGGCTGCATTACAATGATTTGTTGTTTGTGGGAGACGTTTCACATTAAACAAATAGGAATATTTCAAATTGAATGGGAATGTGTTTCATATGAATAGGTGAAATGTTTCTTGTAGTCTGTCTGAAAGTTTAAAGTTGGCCCATATTAAATGGTAGAATTGTACCCTAATGTTATGAACCCGATCGTGTGAGAGCTGCAGTAACCATCAGTACATGTGGTCAGTGACAGTGCAGTATTTGTAGGCCAATGTGGCAGACAATTTGCACACAGCAATGTCCCACAAACAGACATGAAGTGAATGACCAATTTTATCTGTCAGTCGTCTCTCACGCCTCAGCCATTTTATAGTAGGTTGTCGGGAAAGGAAAGCAAAATGTTCATCCCCAGGCCAGAACAGGCTCGATGGGCTGAATGGCCTCTTCCTCTTCCTATGCTACTATCATTGCTTCATGAGTATATTTAGCAATTAAATAAATGGACGAGATTAATTTAAGCTCCCAGGTTCTGAAGAAAGCTGGCAACTCCTCTTTTTGAATGAGAATTCGACACATAGCACAGAAGAGTTTCACATCACTGAAGTGCTTGGTTCAGCAGTGACTAGAGCTGCAGTGGTAATCAAGTTCAGGCTAAAAAGGTCATCCTCTGCTTCACTCTGGTGTCAAGTCTCAGATTCTCATCATTACTAAAGTATTGAGCCAGATTTGAGAGAACGTTGTTCCTTACCTTAACCATATTAATAATCCTTGTATTTACAAGATTTACTGTAACACGTAATCCATGCTGCACAGCTTGTACTGTAAAATGTAGTGACTGTATTTTGTAGGCAAGCCCGTCACCCAGTTTGCACACAACAACAACTTGCATTCATATAGCCCCTCCGTGCCGGGCACCTTCTCTGAGCGCTTAATATTGTCAGAGCCCGATGCTGAACCAGGGGGAGGGGGAAGGTACCATAGGCGCTGTCGAAGAGGAAGGTCTTCAGGCACAACCTGAAAATGAGGAAAGAGGGGGCATGAGTGAGGATCTTAAAGATCCTTTAAGATCTTAAAGATCTCCGCTCTGTGACAGAGAGCCAATGGAGTTTGCAAGGACTGGGGTAATCGGGGTGTGGAGTTTAATGTGGGTGAGAATGCGGGAGGCAGAGTTTTGGATGAGTTGAATTTTGTGAATAATAATAATCCTTGCATTTGATATAGCGCTTTTCACATCTTCTAGATGTCTCAAAGCACTTTAAAGAATATACTGTAAAGTGAATTGACCGTAATGGAGGAGGGGAGACCGCCGAGTAGGGCGTTGAGTACTGCATCCAAGAGGTGACGAAGGCGGGCAAGGGTTTCGGCAGCTTGTGGAGAGAGGTATTGTCAGAGATGGACAATGTCGCGGAGATGGAGGAAAGCGGTCCTGGCGAGGGACCAGATGTGGGGGAGACAGGATAACTTGTGATCGAACCTGATGCACACAGCAAAGTCCCACAAACTGCTAAGAAGGGAATCCCAGTTTTAATAAGGGGATATTGGCCAGAACACTGGGAGAAACGACTTACTCTCTGTTTTGAGGCTGGCACGGTTGGGAACACTCTTACTCTGAGTCAGAAAGTTGTGGATTCCAGACCCATTTCAGGACTTGGAACGTGTCTAAGCTGACACTCCAATGCAGCACTGGGGAGTATTGCTTTGTGGGAGGTGTCGTCTTTCAGACAAGATGTTAAACCAAGGCCCCCATCTGCCTGTTCAGAAAATCTCATGATTTTAATATTTGAAAAGAGAAAGGAGTTTCTCTCTATTGGTGTCCGGGTCAGCAATCTCCGAGATAAAATTGGTCTTTCATTCCATGGCTGTTTGTGGGATATTGCTGTTTGCCCACAAAACACACAGTCACTACACTACAGTAAATCCTATGAAACGCTTATGTGAAACCGCTGATGTGAAAAGGCACTATGCTAAATGCAAAGATTATTATTATCCATGGGATCCTAAAAGTCCACCTGAACAGGCAGAGACGGACGGGTCCTCGGTTTAATGTCCAAACGATGACACCACTGACAATGCACATCTGAGTCAAAGAGACGTGTGATCCTTTTGTTTTCCAGCTTTTCTGTGTGTCAATAATTCCGTTGTTAATTTCTGCAAATTCTCTCTAGTTTCAATTTCTGATTTCCTGAATAATTTGATAAACTCAAAGGGATTTCCCTAGCCTTAGTGAAGTAGTCCCTCCCAGATAGAGTATGGCCCATTTCACCTCACTGAAGTGGTATCACTTTGATTTGATGTATTTTCTAGATCTGCGGATGTGCCCATTCTATTTATTTACGTCTGTGAATTTTCAATGTCTGACTTCTCTGAGCTCAGCGCAATTGATGGCCTGCCCTCCATTTTATAATTGTTTGCCAATTCAGTGCAGATCTGCAGAACACTGCATTTGGAATATTAAATAGCATGTGTGATTCAGCTACCTCAATCTGCGTTTAATACTTTCTGCAAACCAAGCAATTATATAAATTGTTTTTTTATTTACATGGCATGAAAATTATTACCTAGGTCAGCCTGGTTCCATTTGCTGGTACTCTCGCTCCCTAGAACAGAAGGTTGTGGGTTTTTTCTCTTGAGTTCACAACCTAGGCTAAAACTCTAGTGCAGTACTGGGGGAGTGCTGCAATTTCGAGCAGTAGTGTCAACATGGGATCTGGTTTAACATCTTTTGCTTAGATGTTAAACTAAATCCCATCTGCCTGTCCTCCAATATTGGCACTTTTTTTGGATATTTAAAAAAAGGAATTTCTCCCAGTTACCTGGCCACTAATCCTCCTGATAAATTGGTCTTTCACCTACTTGTGGGATTTTTCTTTGAGCAAACTGCCTGATGCATTTGCCTACAAAAACAGTCACTTTTATTAGTGTGAAACATTTCTACAGCATAGGCACTATAGAATTCTTTCTTTCCAGAACATCGATCGCATTCATGTCCCCATTGTAGTCTTGTAAAAATGACCACTCCTCAGGATCTTAATCTTTGTGACATGGGGAAGATGTTATAGAAAAGAGTACAAAGGCTTCTGTTAGTGTTGCAGTCTGTTATTCTATCTGAAAGGATTTTCACTTTCAAAATACAGCAGTATGTTATGGAGAAGCAAAGACGTGGTGTGATTGGAAATGGCTGGTTAGAGGTTCCTGTGGAACAAAAGGTTATTATGGCAATGTAATGCCTGCAATAACATTGCTTGTGCTACTGGGACTCCAAAAGCAGATTAATTCTCTGCAGGCTCCCATATTAATAGATATTATTAAAAAGACATTACTTGGACAATAACCCTAAACTAAAAATGAAAAGTAATTAAGTTTAGTGTTATGTATGCAGCAGAATGTTTGGCAGTTTAATTTCCACAACAATTACTTGTCCTTGTCACGAAGGATGAACATCTTGAAGCCCTTCACAGAGACGGTAAGTAAGGAGCAGGGAGAAGTGCAAAGAGAATTCAAGTGTGTTGGCCAAAGAGATAGGATTTTATTTTAAAAATCCTTGCACTTGATGTAGGGCCTTCCACGTCAGGAAGTTGTCATACACATACTTGCTGTAATATGTAGTAGCTATTTTGTAGCTAAGCTAATAATAGACATTATAATTGGCGTCAGCCTGGCTCAGTTGGTAGCACTCTTCTGTCTGAGTTGTAGGTTCAAGCCTTACGTTGTGACTGAACTCACATAGCCTTAGCCATTGGTCCTCAAACACATTTTTTTGGTGGCCTCAGTGGACGGCCACCATTGCTTTCTGGTGACCCTTGTGCAGTGCTGGGGAAGTGCTGTAATGTTGGAGGTACTATCCTTTGGATGAGAAGTTAAACTGAGAATCTGTATGTTCAGGTGAATGTTAAAGATCCCATTTTGAAATAAGAAGGGTGTTCTAGTCAATAATCCCTAGATTAAATAGGTCATTCACTTCTTGTCAGTCTGTGGGACATTGCTATTCGCAAATTGGCTGACACGTTTTCACCTATAATATACATAGTCACTACACTTTACAGTAAATCCTATGAAGCGTTTTGAAATAACGTCCAGACGTGTCAGGCGAGACATCAGAAGCAAATACTTACTATTTTTTAAAGCCTCAAAGCATTTCACAGGAAATTGCACTGGGATTCATGGGCTCAAACCATGAGGAATGAAAATACTAAGGCTTTTCCTAAGCTAGTTTATGGAAACCGCTTGAGATTCCTGATCAAAGCCCTGAGTAAGTCTTCTGTGTTGTGGTTCAGATAAGGAGGAGCTTTGCATTAGATAGTGAACAGCAGTTACACAGAGCAGTCCTTGTGCTGTTAATAGAGCAGCAATGGACATGCTTCATGGAGGGACAAAGAGAGTGAGTGGGAGACACTTGAGAGGAGTCGGGAACAGATGTGATTTGGCAGGGAAAGGGAGTCAAGGGAGAGGTTTGACTTGTATTGAAAACTAGGAGCATTACAGCAAAGGCTGAAGGAAGCTTCATGTAGGGTCTGGTGTCTTGCATCAAGCAAGGGGGTAGAGAATGAGAGGAGAGGGTGCATTACATAACGGCAAGCTAATGGTGTGAATGTAACCTGTGAGTAGCCCCAGTGTGCTCCGCAGTGATAGACTAGAAATTAATAGCTTGCAGAACATATTAAAGATTAACGGTCTGGTTTGTGTCTTTTTTTCAGAATCTGAATTTCACCGGTTTCCGAAAGATCCTGAAGAAACATGATAAGATGCTGGAGACGAGTCGGGGGGCTGACTGGCGAGTGGCTCATGTGGAGGTGGCTCCCTTCTACACCTGCAAAAAAATCACTCAACTCATCACTGAGACCGAAGTAAGACCCACACAACCTCATAACTGAGGTGTGCAGCTCTGGTTCAGTGTCAACAAATTTACATTAATCTAGCTCCTTTCACATCAGGAGGACGTCCCAAGGTGCTGGACAGTCCAAGGTTTGGGCCGAGGGGATGGGGAGTGGGGTGAAGGGGGTAAAGATGGATGAAAGCGCAGTCTTGAGGCGCACCTTGTAGGAGGGGAGGGAAAGAGCGAGTTGAAGGGACTATGGGATGAATCTTCCTCTGGGACTTATTATTGCCCTAAATCCTATTGCTTTTATTCTGATGGTTATATTTCATATGTTAATGTAATTCTGTTTCTATCATTACAACCGCGATGTCGTCTATCTGGATTCTAAATCGTGTGATTTCTTGTTAGACACTTGTCACCATGGAGTTGGAAGAAGGTGACCGACAGAAAGCTATGAAGAGGTTACGAGTACCGCCTCTCGGAGCTGCTCAGGTTAGTTGTGTTTCTGACCATTTAGAGTAGCGCCTTCTCAATTTATTGAAGGTTCCGGTTAAATGTTATAAGTGTGAAGCCAAGCCACACAGAACAGTTTCGGTACTGATAATCCAGCTCTTTTGCATTGTCAAACTTGGTATCTGCTTCCCAGCCACTTTCCTATGTTACTGACTGTCTATTATATCAAAATTACAAAGACCAGGTCGGTCCAACTGTTTGGGTGCCTCGGCTGTTTGCTCAAAATGTCCACAGGCCGATTGTGCTGACAGCTGCCCTCCCTGGTCCACTCTCTCAGGCTGTATAACATCATCTGCTGGGCTGCCTGTTGGACCACGCTGATGTAGACTATACTGACAATTCAGCTCAACTAGCCTATGTTCCATATGAGCCTCCAACGTTTTTAATTCCCCCCCATCCATCATGCTCCTCTATTCCCTTCTGTGTCACATATTGGTTAATCTGCACGTCTCGCACTGTTGGACTCTATCTCTTCCCAATCCTTGTATTGCAGACTGTTGTTTTAACTGCCTGTGCCATTTGGCCCTTCAAGTCTTTACACAGACCAGAAAAAGTAAATTACTTGTAAATCCAAGGTAGTGTTCAGTAGATTTACTGCAGCGTAGATTTACTATGTTAGTACCAGGGATGAAGGTGATGAGTTACGAGGATAGGCTGACCAATTTGGGCCTATATTCTCTAGAATATAGAAGAATTAGAGGGGATCTTATAGAAACCTATAAGATCAACAAAGGGCATGATAGAGTAGATAGTGGGAAATGAGTGAGGTGATACACTTAGGTAGGCAAAATGATAGGAGGCAATATAGACTTGGTAGCTCAATCTTAAGGGGGCGAATGTACAGAGAGATCTGGGTGTTCACGTAAGCGAATCATTAAAGGTAGTGGAGCAGGTAGATAAGGCAGTAAAAAAGACATTCGGTGTACTGAGCTTTATTAGTAGGTGCATAGAGTATAAGAGTAGGGAGGTTATGGTTAATCTATACAAAACACTGGTTAGGCCTCAGCTGGAGTACTGCATCCAGTTCTGGGCACCTTACTTCAGGAAGGACATTAAGGCACTGGAAAGGGTGCAGAGGAGATTTGCGAGAAGGCTACCAGGAATGGGGAACCTTAGCTATGAGGACAGGCTGAAGAAGTTATGACTTTTCCCATTAGAGCAGAGAAGGTTATGTGGGGACCTGATAGAGGTTTTCAAGATTATATCTCGATAGGCAAGATAAGGAAAAGCTGTTTCCGCTGGTAGGTGTGTCTGTGACCTGTGGTCACAGTCTTAAGATATCTACCAAAAGAAGCAGAGGGGAGGTTAGAAGAAATTTTTTCATGCAGCGAGTTATTCGAATTTGGAATGATCTGCCCGAAAGGGTAGTGAAGTCCGATTCGATAACAGCTTTTAAGAGAGAACTGGATAGGTATCTGGGGAAGACAGGTTTGCAGGGTTATGGGGAGAAAGCTGGTGATTGGGGTTAGTGAAAGCGACTTGCTCTGTCAAAGAGCCGGCACAGGCTCGATGGGCCGAATGGCCTCCTTCTGTGCCGTAACATTCTATGAATCTATGAATTGTTTCCCCTGGTTGGAGAAACGAAAACCAGGGGTCACAACCTTAAAATCATCCCAGCCCTTTCGCACTGAATTGAGGAAGAACCTCTTTACTCAAAGGGTGGTGAATGTATGGAACTCGCTAGCCCAAAGGCTGTTGACGCTCAGTCTTTGAACATATTCAAGACTGAGATAGATAGATTTCTTATTGCAAAAGGTATTAAGGGATATGGGGATAAGGCAGGGTCAGGTTATTAGCTGGAGTTAGATTAGAAGATCAGCCATGATTGAATGGCAGGGCAGGCTCGAAGGGCCGAATGGCCTACTCCTGCTCATGTTATGTTATCAACCTAAACCTACAAACAGTTGGGGTGGTTTAATAGTTGTACACAGGATTTCCTGCAACTGACATTGCAATGCAACAACTTTCATCTTTCTTTATGGCGCCTATCACACAGGTAACGTCTTGGAGCAATAAAGAGGCAATACAATTACAATAAAGCGAGTGTAGGTGGAACTTTACACAGATGGTGGTAAGAATGTGGAACTCGCTGCATGCGGTTGAAGCAGGAAACATCAATAGATTTAAGATGAAACATGTTGCATACACAAGAGAGAAGGAAATGTGTATCTGGAGAGAGTCCTAGATGATGTGTGTGTGTTGGGGGGAGGATGGATAGAGTAGAGTATATACACCAGCAGGGACAGTTAGGCTGAATGGTCTGTTTTGCTGCTGTTTCTGTGCGTCTGTTGCGACTTCAGTGAGTGGCTTCTTGCATGTGTTGAACAGAATGGAGTCATCCCTTGCCTTCAGAAAGCAGAGTTAGCTCATGGTCACTGAGGTTTATGTCCATGCACGTTTGTCACCATGCTGTCAGAATCTAACTCTGGTATCTGTTTTACAGCCAGCCCCAGCCTGGACCACATTCAGGGTGGGGATGTACTTTGGAATTTTTGTGGTGTTTGTCGCTGCTCTTATCTATCAAGGTAAGGTGTGACTGTGGGTACCAGTTCGACTCCCCCTAAAACTCTCCGAACCCGTACGCGACCTAGGCGTCAAGTTCGACCCCCAATTATCCTTCCTCCCTCACATCCGGTCCCTCACCAGCACCGCTTTCTCCCACCTCCGACATCGCCTGTCTCCGCCAATACCTCACTCCAAAAAACGCTGAAACCCTGGTCCATGCCTTTGTCACCTTGTGGATGGACTATTCAAATGCCCTCCCCGCCGGTCTCCGCTCCACTACCATTCATAAAATCCAGGTCATCCAGAACTCTGCCGCCCTCATTCTTACCCGCACCAAACTCCACTCCCCGATTACCCCACACTGGCTGCCTGTCCCAGAGAGGATCGACTTCAAAATCCTCACCCATGTCTTCAAATCCCTCCACTCCTCTGCACCCCCACCTCTCTGACCTCCTCTCTCCTCACTCACTATAATAATAGTGCCTTATTATGTCGTTGAGACATCTCGAAACTTCATAAACTATACTGTAAAGTGGATTGACTGTATATTTGTGGGCGAAATGTGGCAGCCAGTGTCCCACAAACGGTTGTGAATTGAGTGACCAAAGCTTTTTTCAGATCCTCCCCGACTCTTCCTTCAAGACAGAAAGACCCGGCCAGCCCCCCCCCCCCGACTTATTTTGCTCAGGGCTTTGCTCAATTTGAATAGCTTTGATTATGTGAAACCCACCAAAACCACATTCATCCAAACACAATCAATTATAACCAAACCCAAAGTGCGAGTATGCTTTCTGCTTTGTCTATGGGATTCCACTATTGATCCTGAGACTACAACAGCAAAAACTTGCATTTATATAGCACCCTTCACGCAGAGTACTGAGATGCTTTAGTGCTCCAAGACGCTGCCCTGCGTAAAGGGCAGAAGTGCTGGAAGCTAAAAACTATTGATTTATGCTGTGTATTTTCTCTTTTTTTAAAAAAATGGAGGCTTAGAGACTACTTTTATCTGCAGACTCAAAATGCTGATTATGATTTTGGTCGCAGATAGAGTGACTTAACTTTCCCTGTGGAGTTATTCATGGAAAGTGTCAATGAAGCCAAAATAGAAGCTGATAAATTCAGGGCATTCAGCCTCTCCCTGCTTTGTGAGATTTTTTTTTAAAAAGAGTAAGTTACCAACAGAGACTGAGCTTATTGTGATGATGAAATTATTTGCATGTGGTCAACTGACTGGTGGTTGTTCTGTTATAGTGGCTCTTCTCTCTGCTGTTGGGAACCTCCTCTGTTTGAATGGTAAGGACTCAACAAAAACCGTAATGGTGTAGTAAAGTTTATTAGCAAAGGCAATTATGATAAAGATAAATTAGATATGGTAATACAAATATTATTATGCATATTATTAATAACAAACCCATCACAAATTTATGTACGTTCAACATGTGGGCTTTGTGTCTAATCCGGAGATACTTTTTGTCCTTGCCCATCTCCCAGGAGTGACTAAAAACAATTCTTCCGACTACCGGCCCATGGTGCATATTTACCGAGGTGGATTTCTCCTGATTGAGTTCCTCTTTCTGCTCGGCATCAATACCTACGGTTGGCGGCAGGCCGGAGTGAACCACGTGCTGATCTTCGAACTCAATCCCAGGAACAACCTGTCCCATCAGCATCTCTTTGAGGTCAGTCGCTACAGGTTCAAGCAAACTGCAACCAGTCACTGAAAGTGTTAAGCCTTTTGTGGCTCTGAGCTGCATTAAGTGCATATTGTACTGAGTTTCATTAAAAATTAGCCCTCCAAGGGAATACCAAGTTCATAATAAATATATCACCCCACGACTTCAGAGTTCATCCAAATTGCTTGAAAAGGACCTTCCTCCCCAAGTTCTCTCTAATTTTGCTCTTCTGAAGGTTTTCTTCTGATTTATTTTCAGATTGCTGGCTTCCTAGGAGTGCTGTGGGGATTGAGTCTTTTGTTCTGTTTGTTTGACCCATTCACCACGATTCCAATGCAAATCAATCCTCTCGCCCTGTACGGGTTCATGTTGCTGTTCCTGATTAATCCCACCAAAACCTGTTACTACAAGTCCAGGTTCTGGCTCCTAAAACTTCTGGTAAGTCCAGTCGTGTTTGTCCATCTTAACCAGCAAGTGAGTGAAGTGAAGAGTGAAATGTAACCTTTCTCTCTCTCTTTCACACACACATCCAGCACTGAATCAACATTACACCTTGTTACAGAAATGTTTCCTGTTATAACAAATTTATGTGAACTAATCATGCTGAACCCAGTAAAGGAGGATTGTCTTGATTTAATGGGAGCTGTATTGTAAATAAGCTGTTTTATTCATTAACTTTCAATAGAATCAAAATTGAAAACCATAGAAAACCAATACATTTATCAACAGCTGTCATTTGTGGCTATCACAGCATGTAGTTTATATTGTACATCATGTGTGCTTTAGTTTATTGCTGAATTAAATAAATTCTGTGCTTCTCAGATCATTCACTGAGGCATTATTCATCACACCATGTCTGAATGGAGGCAGTTGCTCACAGACCAGCCTTACAGCTGGTTTGATACATTAAAAAGACACAGTTGTGTTGCTTGCTGGGTCATCTCATCAGAGAAAGCAGGTTCTACATATTCAAACTCATTGTATCCATCCTGCAAAAGCAATTGTTATTTTGTATAGTTCATAAAAAGCAGAATGCACTGCACCTTTGAGAGCCACAGGATTGAAGCGATGAATTCCTCAATATACTTTGATCTATCATAACCTCTGAGACAAAGTGTTAGGATTCCCTGATAGCCTAGTGGTTAAAAGGGCAATGCCTCTGCATCAACAACAAAAAGATTACATTTGTATGGCGCCTTTCACGTCGGGAGGATGTCCCAAGACACTGAAACCAAGCCAGAGACCTCAATCTTCAATCCGTGCTCGTGAGCTGATCTCTGCCAGTCAGGTTTGGGTCTGAGGTTAGGAAAGGGAAAGTTAGCCAGGGTTCTTGCTTTGAATCACCCTGCTGAAAGGCAAATGTGTTTGGCTATCAGATCTGGCTGGACTGAGAAGCTTCCCACTGTTGAACAAGCTGTTGACAATTAATGTTGAGAGTCACGTGTGAATGAAGACCAGAGGAAGGGAATTGCCTCTGGGCTAGAAGATTGTAGGTTCAAGCTCAATGGTGGGACTTTGAGCTCCCAGTCGAGGCTGACACTTCAATGCAGCATGAGGGAGTGCTGCATTGCTAGCAGTGCTTTCTATGAAACTGTCTGCCTGTTGAGGTTTTAGATGACAATATTTAAAAAGTGAAGGGAGTTTCCTGGCCGACAATTCTCTAGATAAACTTGGTCAACTCCTCACGGCTGATTGTGTGATGTAGCTGCCCTGTTTCTGGGCCAGTATCTTCATCACCATCTTGGTGACCTGTTTCAGCTGTTCATTCTCCTCTTCATTAAGAAATAGGGTGCCCTTTGCATTTGCCCTGAAGTTGTGCCCTTTTGTTCACTGCTTCCCATCAGTTTTGGGTTCAGTGAAACGAATATGTTATATCCAAAGGCTGATGGAGTTTTTGCTAGGGCTTGATGCAAGATGAGTTGAGGCTTCAAAACTCATTGTAGCCAAATTTATGAAGCGTTTTAGGGAGTCCATATTCTTGATGCCCTGAGATGCTGCAAATCTAGTCCAGGGTGAAATTTCTCTTCAGTTTTTCAAGAGAGATTGTTTTCAATGTATACAAAATTGTAAAGGAATCTCTAGCTGGTCACCAGCCAGTTGAGTAGATGTGGTCTCTGGTTGGGCTCCCCCGAGCCAAGTTTTTGGATTTGTCTGAAAACCAGACTTCTATAATCACTGTATTAGATTTTGCGTATTCTCCTCACAAGCCAGAGGACCCAGATTTTATTCCCAGGCGCGGTAAAACCTTAGACAAGTTTCCTTACTCCATACGCTTCTGTTTACCTAGCAGTAAGTAGGAACCCGGTTGTTAGTCGATTGACGGATCCCTTTCCGGGAGTAACTAGCCCTCCTAGAAATGTAGTTACACAATCCATGAATGTTTGTGGGACACTGATATGCGCAATAGACTGCTGTGTTTCACCCACAAAATAAAGTAATTAACTTTGCAGGATATCCTGTGAAGTGCTTTGACGGAAGGTGCTATATCAAATGTAAGGATTATTGTTATTATTATTTAGCTTCTTTGCCAGCTTTTAGTAACCAACATGCAACCCAACCGCTGACAAGTCACTCTGTGTTTGTTACACTGTAGAGCTGTAATGTTCCATTCCCTATAATCCTTCCCATAATAGTGCCATAACACTCAAGTGGTTGAAAGGAGAGAGATCACAGGGGACAGACAGCAAGTTGCAATACTGGCTATTGATTTTGGGGAAAAAAGGAAAGTAATTTTCAGGGAAATTAGTGCTCCACCAGCTGAGATCTAACAGCTGTGTATGAGTAGTTTTGCTGCAGCCAAATCCACTGAGGTTTAATAGAAGCTGCACCTTCAGTTAACAGTGACAGAGAGAAATCTTATTTTCTTTTATTGCTTGATTATGGAGCTATGAGCTCTTTTTCTTTCACTGTCGACTCTTTTATCCTCCTCAGAGCTTTTTACAGGTTGTCCACAAAGTCCTGTTACCCCCTGTTACAAAATAGTGATATGACATTACGGAGGAGCTGAAACAAGTTGTAAGAGATGCATTTTGCCCTCGTCACTCCATCCATGTTACAGAAGATGTGGTACCAAACATGGCGTTGGATAATTTTCTGCCATGAAAATGATGGCGCTCACTCACACCAATCATTTGGATGTCGAACTACAGTTAAACACTTGTACTGAATATAATTAAATATTTCTAAATACGATTATCATCATTCTTCCACATATTTCAGTTGTTATTCAGGGCACTGTAGAAAAAAAACATGGGGGTAACAGGACTTTGCGGACACACTGCTTTTGATGCTGACTAGACTTTGCATCAAGTAATGTGGCAAAGGAGGTGGGAGTTCTGTACCCTCTCGAGACTTTTGTAAAGTTGTTAAATTGAATGAAGTTTGGATAAAAATAGGGCTGTTTGCAATCATAATTTGCTGTTACATTTTCTTAGCTGATTAGAAATGTTTTAAAATTCAATGGAGTTGAAATTACCTGGAGGGGGAATGTGTGCTCAAATTAATACAAAGCAGCATCCTCAAAGAAGACAGCACCCCAAGGAAATAAGCCAATCACCATTTGCAACAGCAATATATTTTGATATATTTTATTTGTTCTGTTTTTTCAGGTGGAGGGATGGGGGAGGGATAAGTGAACTGATATTGCAGGCTGTAAATTCTTATTATTTGGCACTTAGTTTGTTGCAAACTAAGACCTGGGGGTTAACTCACAGAACCACAGAATGTTATAGCACAGAAAGAGGCTATTCGGCCCATTGTGCCTGTGCCGGATCTTTGGAAGAGCTATCCAAATAGTCCCATTCCCATAGTCCCATAGGCCTGCAAATTTTTTCTTATCAAATACCTTTTGAAAGCTACTATTGAATCTTCCACCACCCTTTCAGCCAGTGTATTCCAGATCGTAACGAATCAGGGTAAAAATATTTCTCCTGGTCTCCACTCTGGTTCTTTTGCCACTTATCGTAAACCTATGTCCTCTGGTACCGACCCACCCGCCAGAGGAAACAGTCTCTCAATATCTATTCTATCAATTATAAGATTTGTAACTAGTGAATCTTGGATGTATCACAGACGATCCTCTAAACTCGGCATTGGGCTCCACCACATTAAGCGTTCCGAGATGCCGTGCGCTGTATAAATGCAAGTTAATGTTGTTGCTGCTCCTAATACATTCCGGAATCAGATAAGCAGGATGCATCCCTTCAGGGAGAGATTGCACATTCCATTCCAACAATATCTCTGGAATTTCCATGTGTAGCATGGAAATCTCAGTTTGGTTTGGATACGTTTAAGCATGGTGATGGGTTTTCGCATGTGTCAGACACTTGACAACCAAAAAAAAATTCAGGCACACAACTACCTCGTCACTCCCTCCACACACAAACACAGAATGATCCTCTATATATATTATATATGTGTGTGTGTGTATATGATATATACATCAAGCCTGCCGTTGTTCAAATACCATGGGCTTGGACTGAGAACTGCCTAGGTTCTCTGTGATCAATCTCATTTCTAAATAGCAGCGCAGAGTGCTGGAAATCTATAAAAATGTATTTTGCAGAGGATCATTCTCATTGTGGCTGTTTGATGAAAAAAGATGTGCTGGAGGGTATAAAAGGAACTCGATCGTTTTTTTATTGCTTTCTCAAAGGCCATTGCCAGCAGGCTCCAGTCTAATGCGGAGGGTAATGAAAGCACATTCAGAAACTGACTGGCTGATTGACAAGCTAATGATTGGATGAGTTGAGCACTCTGTACCCTTGCATTGCGAAAGAAAGCTCAAATTCCACACCGCCTGCTCAGCATTGCTCTGTGCTTCAGTTACAGTAATATGTTTGGTCAGAGACAATTTATCAGTCCACAAAAATACACAAACAGTCGATTGTGTTGCATTGAAATGATTTGGTTAGCAGATAGCACTTCCTCCAGGGCCTTTGTGTAAAGGAGCTCTTGTCCTGACATATTGTGTGAAAATTAAGGGAGTTGATAAACAACTGGCATCATCTTGTGTCGTATGCATCACCACTCAGCTCTAATGAACACTTGCTCTGCACAAGTGTATCATCTGGGTGTAGGCAGGCTCAGTCAGGCTCACCTTCTATCTGGAGCTTTGCTCGTTAATTGAGGATAACAAGCATTATTTAAATTCTGGCAATTCATTGCTGAAAGTTCGTGGTAATGCTACATCGAGATACAGGTGTTCATCACACACCATGTGTAAACTCGTGTTTATCACAAGCCACGTGTAAATGCACGTTTACCATGCACCACTTATAAATGCAATATTGTAAAGGGATTTCCTTTAGTTAGAGACTATACCTTCACTGAGAGCAATCACAATCTGCACCACACACGGTGATGTCACCATTTCACTTGTGTGACATTGCATTTAAAACCTTTATTTAGTGTGCGGTGAAGAACCTATTTTTAGTCCTCTGAAGTATTTGGTTAAAATCTTCTATTTTAAGACCTGAAGGATTTTCAACAAAGTGCTCTGAGTTCTATAATAATCTTCTGAACTTGCCCAAAAAAAATGCTTGAAGACGCAATTCCACAGTTCCCTCTGCTCTAACATTTAACTCCCTACTCAAGTGGCTACAGGTACTAGTACCTGAGTTACACACACTGTTCAGAATAGGCAGCTCTTGCTCTCTCCCAGTGGCATTCTTTAACCAACAGGTCTCCGGCGAAAGAAAGAGGGGCCCATTGCTCCACAATAGGGACAACAAAATAATTTTTTTTTAGCAGAGTGATGGTATGTGGAACAAACTGCTGCACAGATAGAGGAACAAAACACTATAAAAGGTTTCAGAATCATCCTTTCACATCAAGAGGAGTCTCAAAATGATTCACTGTAAAGTGGAGTGACTGTATTTATGTAGGCAGTTTGAACACAACAGCCAGTTTGCACACACAATATCGCAAAAATGGGCATGAAATGAATGACCAATTTTATTTTGTGGGTTGTTAGCCAAGACAACTGGAGAAACTCCCTTCTCGCTTTAAATAGAAGGTAATTTTCCCACTCAAAACAGGCAGGTTGCACCTTGATTTAACGTCTGATTCGAAGGATACCACTTCCAACATTACAGTGCACTTCAACCAGCTTGTGTTTGGAGGTTAAGCAGGTCTAGGGCTTGAACCCACACTTTCTGACTGAGGTGAAAGTGCTACCAACTGACGGAGACTGGTACACAGTAACTACAAAAGAGTAAATATTTATACTAATTATAAAGTCTGACTTTGTTGGTTGCATCTACTTGCAATGTTACTCATCTTCTCATCTATTTAGTTGTTTAGTTCTTGGATTGTTGTTTTTCACATATTCCTTGATGCTTATTATGTAATGGCAGTGGATAATGGAAGATCCTCCGACCTCTACAGATCCAATCAGTAAGAGCGAGGCAGTGCTGAGCGAGGGTGAGGGATCTGCACTTGAGGTTGGGAGATTTCTCTGCTTTGATATTGTGTAATTGTTGTTTTTGTTCTGTTCCTAGTTCAGAGTCTTCACAGCGCCATTCCATAAGGTTGAGTTTGCAGATTTCTGGCTGGCTGACCAGTTGAACAGCCTGGTTATGATCCTGATGGACTTGGCGTACGTGATCTGCTTTTACAGCTTCGAGCTCAACTGGACCAGGAGTGGACTGGTTTGTTCTCCAGGTAATTGTCTGCATAGTACAGTCATAGTAATGGTTTCTGGATGGCCTTACCTTCATCTCCAGCAACTAGTGCCACCTGCTGAACAGGTGAGTGGACAGGGAGATGGAAGTGGGGGTGTCACCGTAATGATGTTCAAAATCTGAGGTTTTTCCAATAGCTCAATGGATAAATCACTCTAATTCTGAGCTACACAGAGGAAGCTCCTCTGTTTTACACTGAGGTACTTAGACTGAGCTGCCGTGACGGTGGAATAGCTTCAGTTGGCTTCAGTGTCCCAATGTTCAAGTCCATTTCGACCTCTGTCAGTTCCCAGCCTCAGCTAGGGGTGTCCACCAGAATCGTCTAGGGCTTTGGGTTATCCTCCTGACATGAAAAGCACTGTGTAAATGTAAATTGTATTGTCCATTTGGTAGAATAAACGTCTCAACAATGAAACTCAGCAATGATATGGATCACTTATTGGCAATCTCGCTCAGAAGGATGGCCGATGTCTTGAAGAAAGTGCTTGTGGAGTTGAGTCAGAACAAATCATTTTGCTGTGCTGCACCTGACCTGCTCAGTGCTGACGTTACTCAAAATGTAGTCAAATGTAGTCCTGGCTCTCACAGTCTAGCAACAGCATTCATAAACAGATCACGCTTTGCTCTCTGTGGGGTCTAACATCCTCTATATCCCTTGAGTGACTTGCAGCTCTGAACCGTTGTGTTTTGAAACAAAGGCTGTCTCTCCTGTGTCGGCTGAATAAATAATTCTTGCCTTTGCTGTAAAGTTAATATCGAAAGGCCTCAAAGTGCTTCAAAGGGAATTCCTGTCAAGTGTAGTGACTTTATTTATGGATTACTTATTCCATGAAGAGACTAAATTCCACCAAGTCCTGAAAAGGGGAAAAGAGAGTAGTATTTAATGGTAAATTCATCCTAAATCGCTAAATAGGAAATGGGAGCAAGCCTTTGCTTTGCTGCTGATAATCCACTCTGGGATACGAAATGCAAATTTTCCCAGCTTGACCTATGAGAAAGTCTAATTTGATATGTAAATATCAAGGCTTGCAGTGTTATTTCACGCTCGGCTTCTCTCTCTGCGAAACATAATCTATTCCAAATTGGAGGAGCCAAGGGGATTTGCATAATTGCACATGTGGCCAGATTGCAGAGGATAGAAAACCTTCAACAAACTAGAATAGGAATCTGTGGAAATCGATTGTGAATATAAGCATATGAAGTATCAGGTGTTGCATCCCTCAGCCATTATCTGCTTAAAGCAGTTGATATGCTGTTTATTATTTGGGGTGATTCAGCAATGATGTAACGTAACACTGGCGTACCACAGCAGCTGGTTCCTCTGAAGAATTGGCAACGCTGCTCTGGCTTTTAATGGGCATATTAAACAAGTGAATACCGTCATTTTAATTTATTTTCCCCTTTCAATGTGATGTTGCTATTATCTTGTTCCCATTGGTCTCACTCACCGCTATCTACATTCAAATGTTGCTTCCAGTGAAACATTTATATCCACCAAGCTTCAAAAACACATTCGCACCTACTTTATGGAGCTATAATGAGTCACTTAACAGCAGATTTGTTGCATTGGAGTAGGTTTAAGCTTGATACTTGAACAGAAGAAGTGCAGTGTTGTGTAGTGTAAGGTACAATGGTATGGAGTGGGTGGTGGTATTTTTCTGCTGTGAGATAAGTGGTTGGGTATAATGGGACAGCATTCCCAGGTTTGCTTGCCCAGCTCTGTGATCTGCTACATGTAGCCTGTCTCTACTCAAGCCCCGTTGAAACCTGTCATATGCAACTCTTTGGTTCCAAGAGTTCTCAGCATTTTGGTGTATTTTTGTATCATTTTTGTCTCAGGCACTGCTAGGTTGGCGGATCAGCAATCATTTCATATAAATAAACAATTGAAAATATTGAAGGATTTGGCAGTGGGTTTACAACAAGCAGCTCTGCTGGGAGACTTAGTACCAGCAGTGACATAATAATAATGGCCTCTTTTGATTCTTTGTGCGATCCTATACAGTGAGTATTGCCAGAGAATTTAACTTTAGGATACACAATAATAAATATAAATCTTTGCATTCAATGCAGAGCCTCATCACCTTGTCAAAATATCATTCTGCGATTCTAATTTAGTCCCTCTACTCTTTTGTGGTGTGCCTCAAAATGTAACTCGTATTGGTTTCTCTTTCAGTCATCTTTCCTCTCCTCACCCATTTCAGCTCCTACCCTCAGCTCTGGTGCTGACACCATATTAGCCCGTCCTCTTCCTCTGCTCAGCAGGCTCAGACCTGCTCCACATCCCCTGCCCGGCCCTCCAGCCTCTCTGCCCCTACTCTTTGGAACTCCATCCCACAGTCCCTTCTTCTTGCTTCCTCCCTTTCCTCCTTCAAGACTCTCCTCTTCGACCAGTCACCCTCCTTACCTCCATTCTCTCTGTCCTCCACCGCTCCTGATCCCAGCCCCAGCTCCCGATGTCAAAGGCGCTGTGTAAATGTAATTTGTTGTAGTTGTTGTTCACTGAAATTTGTCCAGTGCTTTGGGCTATCCTCCTGATATGAAAGGCACTATGTAAGTGTAAAGTGTATTTGTCACCATGTCTGATTTGCCCTTTGTGCCTGTTCTAGGTGTGGGCTCCAGCTACTGCTATGAAATAATACCCGTTGTCCAGTGTCTGCCTGCATGGGTGCGCTTCGCTCAATGTCTGCGCCGTTACCGTGACACCAAACGGGCGTTTCCTCACCTTGTCAATGCCGGCAAGTACTCCACCACCTTCTTCGCGGTCGCCTTCGGCGCTCTCTACAGGACCCACAAAGGTAAGCGTCTCCCTTATTAGATGGACCAAACAAGCCAGGGAGACATGCTTGAATAACGCAGTGGTTTGATAATGTGCTTTATGGAAGCGGAAGTGACAGCCAACACGATTTACTGCGTTTTTAGGGAATAGAAACTGATTTCCTCATTTCCCAGGCATCATTCTGTATCCAGGTTAATGTCCTTTCAATTCCTCATGTTTCTCTGGTTTCCTTAGAATCCTCAACCTCTAAAATCTGTGTTTGATGCCCTGAAATGCTTTCAGTTTGGTGCCTAGAGGCAGGTTAGATAGGATGCATTTGTTTCATCGGTTGTTCTGTGGAATCAGACTGAGGGCTGTGTAAATGTCTGATAAACAATGGCAGCCAGTAGGCTAAAGTCTATTTTGCTATCAAAACCGGAGTGACGCGACCAAGTTAAGTCCAAACTTGACATTTTATGCTCCGCTACCTCTTATGGTCTTGTTGCCAAACAATATTAGGGATTAAAAATTCAAATTGGGGCTAAGGCATATCCAAATATGTTTTTAATCTATGTTAGTTTTTAAAAAAACACTTTTAAATGATATGCAAATGATGTATGGTTTCTTTGTCAATGTACATGCTCATAATCATGAGGTGTAGCACTTTTTGTTGAAATTTACCGGCAGGTTTCCTCTGGGCAATACTGCAATGCTGAATAACGTTTTAAACCGTGCTGAACTGCTGAATATTTCTGCCTCCCCAAACCTTTCACTTGAGCCATGCTTTCTAAAACAGCTGTGAGATTGACTGAACAACAACAACAAGATTACATTTATATAGTGTCTTATAGGGCTCAGGGAAGGAGAAGGGAGGGGATGGGAAGGGGGATGACCAATGGCATGGTCGAAGAGGAGGGTTTTGAGGCAGGACTTGAAGGAGGCTAAGGAGGGTCGACGCAGAGTGATTGGGGGATGGTATTCCAGAGGTTGGGGGCAGAGTAGCTGAAGGCTCTCCCACCAGTGGTGGGGCCGGTGGGTCGGGTGACGTGGAGCAGGCCGAAGCCGGCTGAGCGGGCGGGTTGGTAGGGGTTTAGGAGGTCGCAGAGGTAGGATGGGGCTAGGCCATGGAGGGCTTTGTAGGTGAGGAACAGGATCTTGGAACTGGATCCTCTGAAGGATAGGGAGCCAATGGAGTTGGACGAGAGTGGGGGAGATGGGGTCATGGAGTTTGGCGCGGGAGAGGACACGGGCTGCAGAGTTCTGGATTATCTGTAGTCTGTGGAGGGAGGAGTTGGGAAGGCCGACAAGCAGGGCGTTTGCATAGTCGAGCCTGGAGGTGATGAAGGCATGAACAAGAGTTTCAGCGGCCTGAGGGGTGAGGTAGTGGCGGAGTCGGGCGATGCTACGGAGGTGAGGGAAGGCAGAGAAAGTCATGGCTTGGATGTGGGGAAGAAAAGAGAGTTGAGGGTCGAACAAGACACCTAGGTTCCTGACTGGCTTGGTGAGTTGAAGTGTGCAACCATGGAGGTTGATGCTGCCAGAGCCTGAGGTGCAGAGGCACTGGCACGAGCCAATCAGGAGGGCCTCAGTCTTGTTCACATTCAACTGTAGGAAATTTGCTCTCATCCAGGACTTGATGTCCGACAGACAGTCTGTCAAGACAGCAGTGGTCCTGGAATTGAGGTTGGAGGCAGAACAATAGAGTTGGGTGTCATCTTCGTACATATGGAAGTTAACCCAATGTCTGCGGATGATGTCACCGGGGGGAGCATGTAGGTATTAAAAAGGAGAGGGCCAAGGACAGAGCCCTGGGGGATGCCAGACATGACAGTGCGGGAGCTGGAGGAGAAACCGTTAGAGGCAACAAAGTGGAGACAGTGAGAGAGAACGGAATCGAACCAGGCAAGGGCAGGTCCGCAAAGATTAAGTAAAGAGGAGAGGCAGTGTATGAGGATGGAGTGGTCGACAGTGTCAAAGGTAGCAGAGAGGTCGAAGAGGACAAAGAGGCAGAGGGAGCTCTGATCACAGATGTTCAGAATGTCATTAGTGACTTTGACCAGGGCTGTTTCCGTGCTATGAGCAGCGCGGATTGGAGGGGTTCAAAGAGGGAATGGCGAGAAAGAAAGGAGCGGAGCTGGGACTCGACGACTCATTCCAGGACCTTGGAGAGGAATGGGAGGTTAGAGATAGGGCGGTAGCTGGAGAGGAGTGATGGGTCCAGGGAAGATTTTTTTCAGGATGGTGGTGATGATGGTTGTTTTTAGGGGGGTGGGAACTGAACCGGTGGACAAGGAGAAGTTGATGACATTGGACAGGAGAGGTGCCAGAAGGTGGAGCTGGGAGATGAGGAGATAAGTGGGGATGGGATCGAGGGAGGAGGTGGTGAGTTTGAGTTTGCGAACAATCGTGGTGAAGGAGGAGGGAGAGATAGGGTCGAAGGTGTATAGGGGGGGATGGTTGGGGGTGGGTCATGAGGGAGAGGTGATGTGGAGGTGGCAGTGGACGGAGCAGAGGTGGCTGAACCTATCCCCTCGATTTTGGATTCGAGGAAGTCCAGCATCTCCTCACAGTTGGAGGTTGAGGAGAGGATGGGCGAGGCGCAGGAAAGTGGACGGAGGAGACTGTTTGCGGTGAAAAAGAGAAGCCTGGGGTTGTCCTTTGCCTCCAAGATAACCTTGGAGTAGAAGGAGGATTTGGCGGAGGCAAGAGCGCAGCGGGAGGTCTTGGTGTGGTGAAACCAAATCTGCCGATGGACCATTATTTTGGATTTGGTCCAGGCACGTTCGGCAGCTCGCACTTGTGCCTTGAGGGAACAGAGATGGCTGGTGTACCAGGGGGATTTATGGGAGTTTGAGGCAGTTTGGGAGGTGAGGGGGCCAAGGGAGTCCAGAATGGAGGCGAGGGAGTTGTGGAGAAAAGAGAGTGAGGAGGGGAGATTGATCAGGGAGGGCCAGAGGTGTAGGAGTTCAGATGACTCCAGGGCAGGAGAGAGGGAGGAATTTTTTTTCCACGGACGGTATGTCATGGTGGAGAGTTAAGAAAAGGGAAGGGGTATGGAGGTGTTGAGGGAGATGAAGTGGTGGTCCGAGGTGGCTTTATCAATGATGGTGATGTCCGAGACGGTGAGGCCCCGGGTGATCACCAGGATTGAAGGGTTGAAAGAGGATAAAGCGTCCCTTTCCAACCTAAATATTTAAACTCTGAGCTAATTTATTCAGTGATTTCAAACTCCCATTATGCACCAAATTCACTCATGTTGCTGTGCTTTCGTGTATGTGTGTATATATATATAAAAATTTACTTTACAGTATATTCTATGAAGCGCTTTGAAACGTCTTCAAGACGTGATAAGGCGCTATACCAAATGCAAGGACTATTGTTACTATTGAATTGGGATCTTGTGTACTAATAGATTTGTTAATTTAAAAGAATAGCTTTTAAGTGGGAATTAGACATAGTTAAAAAAGAAAACTACCACAGGGTTTGGGGGAAAAGGACAAAGGAGTGAGCCTAAAAGGAGGGCTCTTCCAGGGAGCTGGCAAAAGGAAATCAATGTGTTTTGGCTCAGTCCAGATGTGCAGCAGCAGGGGTGATGCTCAGCTATACAGAGTTTCTGCTCTGTGCTGTGTAAATTATCTCGCCCCAAGCAGCAGTACTGATGTTACAGTGTTCCTCAGCTTCCACGTGAAACCTGGCCTGTCAATGAGGTACTGGGGCCGAGGAACCACATCGCACTACATGTCCACGCTGGACAGTAAAGAATTTGTTAGGAATATTGCAAATCATTGGTTTCTGTATGGTTTGCTTGGCTTCACCGGCTCCCCGTCCCCCAGAGGATTGAGTTTAAAATCATTGTCCTCAACTTTAAAATTTTCGGTAGTCTTGCCCCATCCTACTTCTGTGATTTCCTAAAACCCTACCAACCTGTCCGCTCTCTCCCCTCTGTCCAGCAAGTCATTAAAATGATATTCCTGCTGTATACTGTTTCCTAACGTTCAGAGTCTGAATTTGCACATCACATTGCTTTGTGGAGGGTTGGGGGGCAAAGGTTCCTGTCCAATTAATTCTTTTGCCCAGTTATCTTACTTTGAACAAATACGGTGAAGAGGGCGACTGAGAATCCGCATGGTCTGACCATTGAGGCACTGACATTAAAGGTCTGGATTTTTTTAACATTAATTTAATAACCACATTATTTAGAATTGAAGTTTCCACTTAGTTTAGTTTGTGGGCATTGGCTTTAAATCATTTGAATTAATATCTCTAGGCTGTACTTTTTAAGATGTAGTAAGACATTTCTCATTATAATGAGATGCTTCCTCTCCAAGGAGACAGGTCATCAGAACTGATTTTTTCATCAAGGCTTCGGAGCGAAATCTCTTTGGTGACTGACCACAACAAGCTTGCTTGATTTAGGAATTGTTTACTGTGCTCTCGCCCGCATGTTACTTAATAGTAATAAAAAGCCTGTCACTCACCGCTCCATCAATCTCCTGCATGACTCACGTGAACACACACGAGCGGTAAATGTAAGCCAGGCTCATTTGACTAATTGCCTTGTTTCACTGCTGCTCCAGTATGTTCATTTTGAAGAGATACTTAGTGTTCATCTGCTCAGCATTGATGGGATCAGGTCATTCTCTCGCTTTTTGTGGTGATATTATGGGATGTTATTAGAGGAGAGAGGTTTTCATCATCATTTTCCTGACTAATCTGGCAGTTGATTTTGTCTGTTCAGAGAAGCTTGTTCTTGTTCCTTTGCAAGCTGCAAATCATCCAAAATTCTGCAGCTCGTGTACTCTCATGCACCAGGCTCTGCGACCCCATCACTCCCACCCTCGCCCGACTCCACTGGCTCCACATCCCCCAGAGGATCGAGTTCAAGATCCTCGTCCTCACCTTTAAGGCCATCCATGGCCTTGCCCCCTTCCTACCTTTCTGACCTGCTGACTCCCTACCAACCTGCCAGCTTTCTCCACTCATCAGGCTCCAGCCTGCCCCATGTCTCCCGCCCGACATGCCCTACCGGTGGCAGGCCTT